CCTTGACTGTGTAGATTAGGTTAGTCTACGTTCTGCCAGGCAGTGGTGGCAAACACCTTTAATTCCAGCACTCAGGAGGCAGAGGTGGAGTTCGAGGCCAGCCTGGTCTACAGAACTAGTTCCATGACAGCCAGGGCTACACAGAGAAACCCTGTCTAAAAGACCAAACCAAAATAGAGATCCACTTGCCTCTGCCTCATGAGCAATGAATTTAAAAGTAGGCCCAACCATGCCCAACCATCTTGTGTCAAGCCCTCAGAAGTCCTGTAGATTAAATGGCTTTGCACCGGCGTGAGCTACTGTGGTGATATATTGCATGTACAAATAAAGCCTGTCTGGAGCCGGGAGGTGATGGCACACACCTTTAGCCCCAGCATTCAGGAGGCAGAGGCAAGCGGATCTCCATGAGTTCGAGACCAGCCTGCTCTACAAGAGCTAGTTCTAGGACAGCCTCCAGAGCCACAGAGAAACCCTGTCTTGGAAAACAACAATAAAAGGCTGTCTGGAGATCAGAGAACGGATCTTGCCATTAGCTAACAATAGAAGTTTGGAGGTCTGGCCGGGCGTTGGTGGCGCACGCCTTTAATCCCAGCACTCGGGAGGCAGAGGCAGGCGGATCTCTGTGAGTTCGAGACCAGCCTGGACTACCAAGCGAGTTCCGGGACAGCCTCCAAAGCCACAGAGAAACCCTGTCTGGAAAAACCAAAAAAAAAAAAAAAAGTTTGGAGGTCTGTACAGACAGCAATTGAGGTAGCTGAGACAAGCTTTCTCTGTATAGCCCTGGCTGTCCCAGACTTCTAGAACTTACTCTGTAGACCAGGCTGTCCTTGAATCACAGAGATCTGCTGGCCTCTGCTTCCCAAGTGCTGAGACTAGGGATTAAAGGTGTGTGCCAGTACCTAGGCCCCCCCCCCTTAATTGAAATGCAATCTCAAGTATCTCAGCCTGGCCTTGAATTCACTACATAGGAAAGGATGACCTTGACCCTTTGATCCTTGGGTCTCCTGAGTGCTGGAATTACAGGTGTCTATCCCTATGTCCTGCTGTGTTGCTGGGGACTGAACAGTGTACTTTCAGGCTTACTTAGGGCATACTAGATAAGGAGACTACCAGATAAACTACATTCCCAGCCCACTACCTTTTTAAAAATTGTTTTATATGTATGGATGGTTTGCTTGCACATATGTCTGTACATCACTTGTGTGCCTGGTGCCTTCAGAGGTCAGAGAGGCTATCGGGTCCCTGGGACTGCAGTGACCCTATGAGCCACAATCCTGGGAATCATACCAGGTCCTCTGCAAGAGCAGCCAGGGCTTTTGTTTGTTTGTTTGGTTGGTTGGTTGGTTTTTCGAAACAGGCTTTCTCTGTGGCTTTGGAGGCTGTCCTGGAACTCGCTTGGTAGTCTAGGCTGGTCTCGAACTCACAGAGATCCGCCTGCCTCTGCCTCCCGAGTGCTGGGATTAAAGGCGTGCGCCACCAACGCCCGGCTGCAGCCAGTACTCTTAACCACTGAGCCATCTCTCCAGCTCCAAGCCCATTTTCTTCTTCCTTCTTTTTTCACCTACTTATCTCTGGCTGGGCTGGAATTTGTGGGGCAGCCTATCTGGGTTTGCATGTGTAGGCTGTAGCAGACAGGAGCCTTTTTTCTTTGAGGTACAGCAAGTCCTCTTAAGTGTTTAGCCCTGAATGCTTTTCTCTTGAACATTTTCTTGGCTCATTTTCAAGACACAGTCTGGGCTCGATTTGCTTCCCAACTTCCAAGTTTGTAATGCAGGGTCTCCTATAGTCCAGGTTTGTCTTCAACTCATGATCCTCCTGCCTCCACTTACTAAATACTGGGATTATAGGTACTCAGCACCACATCCACCCCAGATTTCTAGAATCACCTCTCCAAGTGATGGGGTGCCCTTCTAACCCCCTAAGTTCCTTAGTGCTGGCCATTTCACATTTACTTTTAGGTTTCTGTGTGCTTGCACTGGTAGCTAAAATAATGACCCTTTGATGGTCGGTGCAGCTTCATGAAATGCAGCTTGGAGTGGAGTGTGAAATCACTGGCATTGGTGGCACCTGAAAATTCCTCAGGAACGTAGACTTTAAGGTGAGTTCTGACCTCAGACCGACCTACTAAATCAGAATCTCTGGGAGTAGAGCCAAGGAATTTGTCTTCAGAGAATTTCTAGCTGTTATGCGTAGTGACCTAAATTTGTAATTTGAGCATTTTGGTAGTAAAGACGAAAGCATTAGGAGTTCAAAGTTAACCTCTGCAGTACATGCAGCTTGAGGCCAGCCTGGGCTATATGTGAGATCAGGTCTCAAAACAAAACAAACAAACAAAAATTGGGCTACTGAGATGGCTCAGTGGTTAAGAGCACTGACTGCTCTTCCAGAGGACCTGGGTTCAATTCCCAGCACCCACATGGCAGCTCACAACTGTCTATAACTTCAAGATCAGACATTCTCACATGGACATATATGCAGGCAAAATACTAGTGCACATAAAATAAAAAAATAGGTAAGTTGGGGCTGGAGAGATGGCTCAGAGGTTTAAGAACATTGACTACTCTTCCAGAGATCCTGAGTTCAATTCCCATCAACCATATGATGGCTCACAACCATCTATAGAGATCTGATATACTCTTTTTTTTTCTGATATACTCTTCTGATGTGCAGGCATGCATGCAGACAGAGCACTGTGTACACGATAAATAAAATCAATCTTTAATAAAAGTTATATTTTTAAAAATTGAACAAACAACAACCCCCACCCCCAAATGAGGGGTTGAGTGTTGGAGAAGAAAGCAAGAGGGAAAGAAAGGAGGAAAGGGAATAAAAAGATGAACAGGAAGTGAGATGGTGTAAGGTACCAGTTAAGGGCGTGAAGCGCCTGAGGAGGAGAGCAGTGTCGCTGAGATTGGGTTGGGCTCAGCTCTGGAGAGGATGCATGAGGAGGAAGGGAGGGACATGAGGACACCCATGGAGGATGGTGGGCGTGTCCAGGCAAGAAACCTATAGTGATGGGCATCCATGTAGGCCCATGAAGGCATTTGATTCTGGATGAGATGCAGAGAGCTAGAAAATGGAGGAATTTTGTGTGCCTTATTCAGAAGTGCCAATTATTCCTGTCCCTGATCCAGATGACTGGGGACAGCAGGACAAGGGTGCTACAGTGGGCAGAATAGTAATCTGACTACAGGTATGCTTAGGCCCACGGAAAATGGTGTTCAAGCCATTTAATCCCGGCACTGGGGAGGCAGAGGCAGGCGGATCTCTGTGAGTTCGAGGCCAGCCTGGTCTACAGAGCAAGTTTCAGGACAGTCTCCAAAATAATACAGAGAAACCCTATCTAAAAAAAAAAACCAAAAAGACAAACAAACAAAAACAAAAAAAAACAAAAAAAAAACAAAAAAAGAGGAGCCTTTCTTTCAGGAGTTACCGGCTCCTTCCCACCCTACCTTTAGGGCATCTTTTACCTATGTAAAAATGGATGTTTTACTCAGCGGGTGTAGCCTCCAGGCCTGGGAGGAATACCTAGAGGGGCATCCCAAACTTGGGAGCTTCAGGCTGTTCCTGTTCCAAAGCAGTCTGGAGAAGAGGACAGCTCTTTACTCACGCTGTAGGTGATAAAGGAAGAAGTTCTTAGGAGCTGAGTGACGGTGATGCGGTGACACTGGGGGGGGGTTGGGGTCATGGGAAAAAAGCTGGCACCAGCCTCGTTTGTTCTTTTATTGGACCCTAGCTGTGGGTCTACTTAGGTGGGATAGAAGGAAATAAAAGACGCTCACAGCCGGGCGTTGGTGGCGCACGCCTTTAGTCCCAGCACTCGGGAGGCAGAGGCAGGAGGATCTCTGTGAGTTCGAGACCAGCCTGGTCTACAAGAGCTAGTTCCAGGACAGCCTCCAAAGCCTCAGAGAAACCCTATCTCGAAAAAACAAAAACAAAAACAAAAAAAGACGCTCACTCTAGTGTCGCTCTATCCAAATACACACCTGGGCTGGGTGGCGGTCAAGTTGGGGGAATCTCACAGAGCTTGGGTGAGACCCCAGGGTGTAACCATCAGCGACACCGAAATAAACTCTATATTTTGGGTATTTCAGGGCCCCGCAGCGTTCTAGCTACCACACAGGGGCTGCATAGGGAAACCCTGTCTTGAAAAATAATTTTGTAAAAGAACTTCTATTGAAGAACAAAAGAATCACCCTAAAATAAATTTCTCTTGAGATATCTCCATAGGATAGCTTTTTTTTTTATAAGAAGGATTTTATTTATTATGTATACAGTGCTCTGCCTGCATGTATGCCTGCAGGCCAGAAGAGGGCACCAGATCTCATTACAGATAGTCGTGAGACACCATGTGGTTGCTGGGAATTGAACTCAGGACCTCTGGAAGAGCAGCCAGTGCTCTGAAGCACTGAGCCATTTCTCCAGCACCCACAGGATAGCTTTGAATTTGGGCAATCCTCCTGCCTCTACCTCTTGAGTACAAAAATTACAATATACCACATCTGATGGCTAAAATGCTGTTGGGAAACAGCAAAGATGTGGGGTGAAGGGGTGGAAAGTTTATGAAGTCCTGGGGTCTAATCCCTAGATTTCTCCCCACATCTGAAAAGTTAAAAAAAAAATAGGGGTGTTATTTGCAGAGAAAAGGTACAAGAATAAGGACATTACCTGTGTTATCACACTGGAATACTCCCCCTCCCCATTTTTTGAGACAGGGTTTCACTGTGTAGACTTGCATGGCCTGGAACTACTTTTGTAGATCAGGCTGACTCTGAACTCACAGAGTCACTTAAGTATACAGTGTTTTGCATTTCATTACAGATGGTTGTGAGCCACCATGTAGTTGCTGGGAATTGAACTCAGGACCTCTGGAAGAGCAGTCAGTGCTCTTAACCACTGAGCCATCTCTCCAGCCCCAGAGATACTCTTATCTATGCCTCCACTGGGATTTTAATAGAGAACATGAAACATACAAGCACTCTGCACAAAATACAAATTAATAGAGTATCATTATTCATGTTATAATTGAAAGCAAAAAGCTTTTGTAGTTGAGACAGAACAGTACAAAGTCAGACTCAGTCATTTGGGATTTGTCCCTTGTTGAATAAATCACATTATTTCCCAGCAGTTCAGCTTCCTTATTTAGAGCAACGAGTGCTGGGAAAGGCAGTCCCATGTGCCCTTAGGAATAGTCCCTGGGCTTGCAGCTTCCTACTGAAGGATAAAGTGTGGACAGGGTAGGCACTCAGCTTAAAGTCTTGGCTTGGAAGGTCTTTCCTTGTGGCAACCCCAGTGTGAGCTCCTTTTGCTCTCCTAGGTGAGTCACTTGGCACCTAGTATCCAACGTTCCCTGGTGGCTCCAGGGAGGAGTTCACAGCTGGTTGCCCTGGGCTGGCTACTGCAGGGCAAGCCTAGATAACTCCATTTTGGGGGCTTGGTTGTGTTTCGGTTTTTGACTCCAGTCTAGGGCACAAGGGTTGAAGTGTCTGGCTCCCATCCCTGGTGGCAGGCATGGTTATGGTACAGCACGAAGAGGACCTTGCTGGATTCCATGGCAGGCGAGGGTGACCGTGGCGGAGGGACAAACATGTCAGGCAGACAGAGCTTAGTGGGAAGTTTTATTAGAAAGAAAAGGGGCAGGAAAAGTCCCCAGGGGGAGGCGGGATTTGGGGGGGTCTGTCTTTTCACCTGGTACTATGCAACCAGGTGACGGGGTGGGCCAGCGTAATGCTTGAACCCTTATGATAGTGGAGATCTGCGTTGTCCTCTAGGTGGCGAGGAGCCTCCCTCGGGTTGGGAAGTAGTTCTCAGTATCTGCTTCCCTGGATTGGTGCCTGGAGCATCGGGATGGCTTCATCTTCAAGCGAGGCCGGTGTTCCTTCAGCCAAATTTTACTTCCGTGTAATTTAATGTCTTCCAAGTAGGTTTGCTGGTCTTTGTAACATCAAAAATGAGTTCATTACATCCATTTCCTCTTTCCTCTGGTATTATTAGCTCACTAGCGCCTGCCTCAGTCCTGTTTCTTCTCCTTCTGTTTCGACATTTCTTCCTTGTATTTCTTCCTCTTTTCATGAAACCATTGTTGGACCTGAGAAAAAGGAGATTAACAGAGGACTAAGGATATTGGTCTATTTTTTTGTTTTTCCAAGACAGGATTGTGTAGCTCTGGCTGTCTTGGAACTCCCCTTGTAGACCAGGCTGGCCTTGAACTCACTGAGATCCACCTGTCTCTGCCTCGGGAGTGCTGGGATTAAAGGCGTGCGCCATCACTACCGGGCAAGGAAAGAGGTTTCTATGAGCTACTTCGTGTTACTAGAACCAAACAAAGCATGCTAGAGAAAGAAAAGATCTGTTGGCCCCGGGTTTCAGTGTTCCACCCGTCGTCACTCTTCCCGGTAACTGGGGCCTAAGAGGAGGTTCACCATCATGGAGTGGGAACACGGGGACCACAAGGCTTGTCACCTTGGAGGACAGTAGGCAGAGAAAGCAAATGAAAAGACACCAGCCATACCGTCTTCATGAAGAGTCCCAAGGCCTTAACCAATGGATTATGTTAGAGCCCCCAGGATCCAACTGAACCTTACAATACTTGAATCAGGGTGTGGGATGGACATATTTTACATTCTTAAACCCATGGGGGCTGAAGAGATGGATGGCTCAGCAGTGAAGAGCATTAGCTGCTCTTCCTGAGTTCAATTCCCAGCACCCAGCTCACAGTCATCTGCAACGGGTTCTGATGCAGACAGAGCACTCATACTAAAATACATTAATAAAACAAAACACCTAACAGTTAAGGAACAGCAACATGGGTGACATGATCGGGAAAGGGAGAGCTATGTACCTGTTTGTCTGTCATGCTAAATTGAAATGACAGTGAATAACAGTCTTGCACGGTGGGGCTTCTTCTTAACTTAAATTTTGCCCACAGAGCGTCCATGAGGGGTTTGCTAACTTGTTTCTTGGGACACAGCTCCTCATTTTTCTGCTTTGCTTGCTTCTTTTTCTTCTCTTTCTTCGAGGTTCTCATCCTCTGCTGTCCTTTCTCGGCTCTGCTGCTGCTGAGTTGTTCTGGGAGTTGTCTCTGGTACCATGTACCAAGTTGTTTTTTTTTAAGGAAATCTGTAGGATACAAGCAAGCTGTGAGTACAGTTTCAGATCATGCTTAGTATTCTTCCATGTTAGAATATTTGATTTTCAGCTGGGCAGTGGTGGCACATGCCTTAAATCCCAGCACTCGGGAGTCAGAGAGAGGCAGGTGGATCTCAGTGAGTTCGAGGCCAGCCTGGTCTTTAAAGAGATTTCTAGGATAGCCTCCAAAGCTACAGAGAAACCCTGACTCGAAAAACAAAACAAAGCTATAACCTATAACCGGGCGTTAGTGGCACACTCCTTTAGTCCCAGCACTTGGGAGGCAGAGGCAGGCAGATCTCTGTGAGTTGGAGGCCAGCCTGGTGGGGTGGTGGTGGTGGTGGCACACACCCTTTTAATCCCAGTACTTGGGATGCAAGAGGCATCTCAAGTGAGTTCAAGGCCAGCCTGGTCTACAGTGCAAGTTCCAGGACAGCCAAAGCTGTTACACAGAAAACCTGTCTTGGGGGGCAAACTTTATTATTAGAATAACATTGGGGGTGACCTTGAATTTTCTACCTTCTTGCCTCCACCTCTGAGTGCTGGGACCACAGGGTAACAGCAGCTTGGTGTCCCCAGTGTTGGAGGTTGAACCCAGGGGCTTGAACCTGTTAGAGAAGTACTCTGCCGGAAGAGCTATACCCCAACCCTAAAAGAAACAAAAGAAGTAAATTTAAAATTATTCATCTTGATTTTCTTCTCTCTCTCCCTCTCTCTTTCCCTCTAGGTTTTTCGAGACAGGGTTTTTCTGTAGCTTTAGAGCCTGTCCTAGAACTCACTCTGTAGACCAGGCTGGCCTTGAACTCAGAAATCCCCTGCCTGTCTCCCAAGTGCTGGGATTAAAGGTGTGTGCCACCAATGTCCGGTTCTTTTCTCTTTTTAAAGTTATATTTATTCTTATTTTATGTTGTGAACCCCATTAGTCAAGAATAAGAGTACTACCACAGTTTTAAAGCCAAATTTGAAGCAAGCTTTGATTAAATACTGGCTAGGTCCATATCCAGATTCCCAAGAAATGACCCCAGATACATTTTTCAGGGGTTTACAAAGGTAAAACCCACAATCCAAGGCTTTTCCCATCAGGTCCAATCTGGGGGCAATCATACACCTGACACTGTGTACCCCCCCTACATTCAGTCAATGGCAAGGGTACACAAATCCTGACATTATTCTCCCATAAACAATACTCCTGGGCATTTCACAAACCGTCTGTCCCTGGCCAAGAGGCTTGCAGATCAGAGGTGTTTGTTTCATGGATCTCTTAGGCATAGTAATTTAAAACTTACAATGTAACTATGATTCTCATGGTATGTTATCTTTCTTTGTGAGTTTAATTATGCCCCATGTTAATGCAGGTGCCATGGAATCCTGAATGGGGTATGGTTCTTTGGTGAGCTCAAACTGGAGTAACAAAAGCCTGAGCCACCATGTGGGCTCTGGGAATCAAAACTGGGTTCTCCACAATAGCATCAAGCGCTCTTAATTGTTGAGTCACTTCTTCAGCCCACTTTCACAGTTAGATGCTTTTATTTACGTGTGAATTGGAGAAGTGGAGACCGAGGACAATCTGGCCACATTGTGGGAAACCTAAGTAAACAGAAGATGCAGCCAGGTGTGGTAGAGCATGCTTCTGATACTGGTTCCCCAGAGGTTTGATGCAGCTGGAGGCACCACAAGACCTGACTTCAAATGAGTCTACATAGTGAGACCCTTCTACAGAAAAAGGAAGAGGAGGAGGAAACTATTAGTTTACTGTTTGCCTGGTGGTAGAAACCGGGTTTAGTCCTGGTACCGCCCAAACGATTTTTCATTTTGCTTAGTGTTTACATTCTATTCAATTTTCACTTACTCTGTAGTTTCAAGTTTGTGACTTTCTTTTGGTCCATGTTGTGAGCAGCTTTCATATCAGACTCTCTCTTTAAATCCTCAGCAGCACCAGGTTTCAACAGAGAAAAGTCCTGAAAGAGAAAAAAAAGTGCATTGTTACTGATGAAACATATTTAAAGCTCTTAGGAGAAATGAGTTTCCTGTTTCCTGGAATATCTCTCAGGAGCTGGAGAGATGGTTCAGAGGTTAAGAGCACTCTTACAGAGGACCTGGGTTCAGTTCCCCATATCCACATGGCAGCTCACAACTGTCTGAAACTCCAGTCCTGGGGATATGACTCACTCCTTTGTGGTACACAAACATACAAACAAACAAACAAACAAACAAACAAAAAAGATAAAACAAAAACAGGCCAGGCAGTGGTGGTGCACGCCTTTAGTCCCAGTATTCAGGAGGCAGAGGTAGGCAGATCTTTGTGAATTCAAGGCCAGCCTGGTCTACAAGAGTGAGTTCCAGGACAGACTTCCAAAGCTACAGAGATACCCTGTCTCAAGGAAACACACACACACACACACAATAAATCCATTGAAAAATCATTAAATTTGCTGGATTCCATAAAAACACTGTGGCAATGCACCATTCTCCATCATGTACATGCACAACAATAATACTTTTTTAAATTCTTTTATTTTTCAAGACAGGTTTCCTTTGTGTAACCTGTCCTGTACTCAGTCTCTAGACCAGGCTGATTTGCCTGCTTTAGCCCCCTGGAATTCTGGGAATTAAAAGCATGTACCGCCACACCCATCAAATTTTTGAAATTCTTACAGGAATACAAAAGACCACAAAAGCAAAATGAATACAGTTGGGGGTATCACAACAAGGGACTTCAAATACATCACAGAGCCACAGTGACATAGAGTGCACTGTACTACATAGCCACCATCATCTAACTTTTGACAAAGGCATCAAAAACATACAATGGAGCCGGGCGTTGGTGGTGCACGCCTTTAATCCCAGCACTCTGGAGGCAGAGGCAGGCGGATCTCTGTGAGTTCGAGACCAGCCTGGACTACCAAGTGAGTTCCAGGACAGCCTCCAAAGCCACAGAGAAACCCTGTCTCGAAAAACCAAAAAAAAAAAAAAAAAAAAAAAAAAAAATGGATCCCAGACCCTGATAGACAGAGGCAGACAGATCTGTGAGTTTGAAACAGCCTGTCTGAATAATGTATTTTCTATATATCCAGGCATACGTACCTAGACACTGTCTCAAAACCAAAAAGCATACAATGTGGGTAGAGAGGCTATTCAACCAACGGTACTGACAACTAGGAATTTACCTGCAGAACAATGAAATATTTTGTACTATACAAAAACCAATTCAAAATGCATCCATCACTGACACCACTAGAGAAAATTCTGAGGAATATGCTTCAAGTGAAAGGCAGAGAGAACACAGGAAAGTCTCCAGAATCAACAAATGAGATTGTCTGAATACAGTAAAGAAAGTTATCAGAAAAGTCTGCCAGCCTAGGCATGGAGTTGAGGTCTAAAATAGAGCCAGGCAGTGGTGACATGCGCTTTTAATCCCAGCACTTGGGAGGCATAGGCAGGCCTGGTTTATATATATGTAGTGAGTTCCAGGATAGCCAGGGTTACACAGTAAGGACCTGTCTCGAAAACAACCATAAACAATAAAAAAACAAACAGAGCCAGCAAGGTGACTCAGTGTATAAACGTGATTGTCTCACAAGACTAGTGACCTGAATTGAGTCCCCAAGGCCAAGGTGGGTGAAGAGAACTTCTCAAAGCTGTCCCCTGACCTCCACAGATATGCTGTCTCACGTGGACACACAAATAGGAAGACATTTCTTTTAATTATAAAAAGCAAAAATAAAAGATACCTCGCTGGCCGAGTGTGATAGTCCACACTTTAATCCCAGTACCCCAGAGGCAGAGGGCCTCGGTGAGTTTTAGGTCAGTTTAATATAAAGTTTAAAACCATCCAGAGTTTACATAGGGAGATGCTGTCAAATAAATCAATAAAATTGTGTCAGCTCACAGTTCCGATGTCAAAGGTCAGAAGGCCCTCAAAGGATGAGGGTCTTGTTCCTGGAGAGCCCTGAATAAGACTGTCACAAAGCTCTCTACTCTTGTTCCTGGAGAGTCCTGAGTAAGACTGTCACAATACTCTCTGCTATCTAAGCTCTTATGGGCCGGGCGTTGGTGGCGCACGCCTTTAATCCCAGCACTCGGGAGGCAGAGGCAGGTGGATCTTTGTGAGTTCGAGACCAGCCTGGTCTACAGAGCGAGTTCCAGGACAGCCTCCAAAGCCACAGAGAAACCCTGTCTGGAAAAACCAAAAAAAAAAAAAAAAAGCTCTTATGGAAGCCACCAGGATTCAGTTACAGAGGCCACACCCTAATGTCTATGTATCTAATCCTATTGGCCTCATCCGCAGAACACCTTGCAGTGGTATTAAATGTTATTTGATTTGTCTGTTGCTTGAGACCCACCCTACAATGTTACCCAAACTGGTTTTAAACTCGTCTCAAGTGATCCTCTCTAGCTTCAACCTCTTGGGGGTGGGACAACATGGTGTGTGTCACAAATCCCAGACCCCTTCACAGGAATTGCATATCAGATAGCCTATACACCAGAAATTTACATTACAATGTTCTAGTTTTTTTGAGACAGGATTTCTCTGTGTAACAGCCCTAGCTGTCCTGGAACTAGTTCTGTAGACCAGGCTGGCCTACATTACAATTTATAACCATAGCAAAATTATGGTTATGAAGTAGCAACTAAATAATTTAGGGTGAGTTTGAGGCCAGCCTGGTCTACAGAGTGAGTTCCAGGACAGCCTCCAAAACAATACAGAGAAACCCTGTCTCGAAAAAACCAAAAAAAAAAAATAATAATAATAATAATAATTTAGGGTGTGTGTGTGGGTCACCACAATATGAGGAATTGTATCAAAGAGTCAAAACATTAGGAAGGTTGGGAACCACTGCCCTAAATAGATATTATGGCTAAGCACGGGAAGGCTTTGAGAGCATTCAAACCTTAGGAAAGAGTAGCAACCATGTGGACAGTGAAAAAAAAGTCTTCTTCAACGGCAGTGAGTGATGACACCTGGGAAAAATAGAGAACTATCCGGAAGACAAAATCAGCGAAGCCTGCTGAGGGCATGGGAAAAGGCCGAGGGATGAATGAGGCGTGGTTGTGTTAGAGGAAGCTGCGTGGAAGGCCCCGCCCACCTCAGGGTCACAGCGCTTGCCTAGCGGCGTCGTTAAACCTGGACTGTTGCAGGGTCTTTTTCTAGTCATGTACCAAGAAAGCCTGTCTGGCACCCTAGTAAAATGCCGTAGCGATGAAAGAAGGCCTTGTTGGTATTTCACGGATGAAGTCTGCTGCTTGGGCATCGCTAGTTAACATCTGGGCACCAACGAAAAGGCCGTGCGCCCCTGAAATCGTACAAGTGCGATTCTCCCCACACTTGTGTCTGTGAAGATGCTGTACTCGAAGGGACCGGGAGAGCCGCTGGGTGACAGCCTGGGTAACGCTGCCCTTGGTGTTCGCCTGAGCCAGTCCGAGATGAACTTTTCCAAGCCTGTCCGGGTGTGGCTACTTTGGAGTAACGATTCAGGCATCAAGCTGGCCTGTTCCTGTCACCTGGCAGAATGCACTCAGGCAGTTCCCTGGTCAGCCCGGTTCCATGACTACAGTATGCACGCAGGTGCCAAGAACCCCTGTCCACTTATGCTGTCTTTCCCCGCGGTTCCCCGGGGGCAGACAGGACTTTTCCTGTTTTCCTCTTCTCTTCTGTCCTCTCCCTGTCTCTGTGTCTCTTTACCTCTTTTCTTTCCTGCCTCCTCTTTCCCTTTCTAATAAAACTTCTCACTAAGCAGACTGCCTGGCATGTTTGTCCCTCCGCCTCTGTCACCCTCGCCTGCCGTGGAATCCACCAAAGTCCGGCACAGGCATTATCATAACATTAGGAGTAAATGTTGGAATGCCAGGCACACTAGACTTTGTTTTTTCCCCAATGTTGAGTTTTGAATGGGGCATGGTGAGATGAAAAAAACCCTAATAGTTGAGGGTAATTCTGAGGATTTACTGAGAGGAGGAAATAGAAAATGCTGCTAAGAGCCCCCCCGTGGCAAACGCCTTTAATCCTAGCACTTGGGAGGCAGAGGCAGGAGGATCTCTGTGAGTTCGAGACCAGCCTGGTCTACAAGAGCTAGTTCCAGGACAGGCTCCAAAGCCACAGAGAAACCCTGGCCCCAAAAACCGAAAACCAAACCAATTAAACCAAATATAGTTCCTCATGTTGTGGTGACCACCCCCACTGACAAAACATTTTCACTGCTACTTATAACTGTAATTTCGCTACTGTTATGAATTATAATGTAAGTTTCTGATACACATTTCTGAACCACTTCTCTAAAGTAACAGAACTTACAGCTTACACACACACATATATAAAACCTATATTATGTATACATTTATATATACACACATATATAAATCTCATATATATTCTAATAAATCTCGTATATATTGGAATGACTTACAGGAGGCTGGCTATGGCTGGATAGTCCGAGAATCCAGAAGTTTCTCAGTCTATGAGGCTGGATGTCTCAGCTGGTCTTCAATTTATGCTGGAATCCCAAAGTTGGCTCTAATGCCAGCCAGTGAAGGGATGGACCTGCGGGCAAGGCAAAGACCAGTGGTCAGACAGGAAAAGCTTCCCTCTTTCCTGTCCTTATATAGGCTTTCAGCAGAAGGCGTGGCCCAATTAAAGGCGTGTCTTCTCACCTCAAAATCCAGGGCTCTGTGGAGGTCTGAAGGAAAATGCCCCCAATAGGCCCATGGAGAATGGCACTCATAGGCCTTATTGGAGTAGGTGTGGCTTGTTGGGGGAAGTGTGTCACTGTGGGCAGACTTTGAGGTCTCAGAAGCTCAAGCCAGGCCTAGTGTGATTGAATATCTTCCTTGTTGCTGCCGGCAGATCCTAATGTAGAACTCTCAGCTACTTCTCCAGCACCCTGTCTGCCTGCATTCCTACAGGCTTCCCATAATAATGATAATGATCTATACCTCTGAACTGTTATCCAGCCCCAATAGAATAATTTCCTTTATAAGAGTTGCTGTGGGAGCTGGAGAGATGGCTCAGAGGTTAGGAGCACTGACTGCTCTTCCAAAGGTCCTGAGTTCAATTCCCAGCAACCACATGGTGGCTCACAACCATCTATAATGAGATCTGGTGTCCTCTTCTGATATGCAGGCAGAACACTGTATACATAATAAATAAATAAATCTTCAAAAAAAAGAGTTTCAAAAAAAAAAGAGTTGCTATCTTAAAAAAAAAAGAGTTGCTGTCTTAAAAAAAAAAGAGTTGCTATCTTAGCTGGGCGTTGGTGGCACACACCTTTAATCCCAGCACTCGGGAGGCAGAGGCAGGAGGATCTCTGTGAGTTTGAGACCAGCCTGGTCTACAAGAGCTAGTTCTAGGACAGCCTCCAAAGCCACAGAGAAACCCTGTCTCAAGAAAAAACCAGAAAAAAAAAAAAAGTTGCTGTCTTGGGACTGGTTGGTGGCGGCACCAAGGAAGCCATTGGACCCTGGAGGCTCTGACTTCATTGATGTGCTGATCTGTTGAAGTACTCATAGTCTGATGGCATTATTGGGGAACGGTAGAAGCCAGGGGTCTAGGTGTAGGGTGTTCAGCCTGCCCTAGAATGTTCCCTTTGGCCTGGTTCCTTTCTCATTCATTATCTTTGCTTGTTGGATTCCCACCCCCAAAATGAAAATGATCACCTTTCCCCTGTTATGGTCTTCTAAAGTGACATTTCTACCTGTCACAGGACTACTAAGCAATGATAACAGTGACCATAGACCACAGAACCTCTGAAGCCATGACACAAAGTACATTTTTTTTTTCAGTTAAGACATGGCCTCACTGTATAGTCCTGGTTGTCCTGGAATGTACTAGGTAGATCGGGCTGTCCTGCAACTCAGAGATCCAGCTGCCTCTGCCTCCTGAATGCTCCTTTTTCTCCCCTCTCTCTATTCCCTTCCTTTTCTGTAACACAAATAAATAAATGACCCAAAGACTGATATTGGGGCTCAAGCTTCAAGCTGAATATCAGAAAAGCAAAGCAACTGGCCACTAGCTTCTTACCTCTAGTTCAGACTGAAGGGGCTGGTCCACACACGAACTCTTCACCAAGTCTCAGACTGCTGCCTCTCCTCAGGCTCGCCGGAGAACGAATGCCTCTCTGAGACCTTGCTTCTGTCTTATATACTTCCCTAATGTTGGGATTAAAGGTGTGTGCTATAATTCCCTTTTAGACTGATCCACTCTTGTGTAGATCTGGGTGGCTTCAGACTCACAGAGATCCGGCTATCTCTTAATCCTGAGTCCTAGGATTAAAGGTGTGTGCCACCACTTTCTAGCCTAGCTGCTGGGATTAAATGTGTGGCTGACTTTGTTTTCTGAATCCTGAGGCAAGCTTTAATATCTCACCACACTTTACTCCATTCCCTTTCTTGATAAAACTTCCCAAGTGACCTCGGTCTGCCTGGCGTTTCATCCCGCCCTGGGACTTTTCCAAGGTCCCCCTGAGGCCACATATAACACGCAGTCCTGGCCCTGAAAAGTTTGGCTGCTGGAAAAGTCCTGTGAACCCTGCTGTCTAAGTCCTACTGAAGTCCTTTCCACCCACAAAGGCCTGGCCCAGGCCTTCTGCAGGCTGCCAAGCCTTAGACAAGTGGGTGTTTCATTCTCAGTCCTGTGGGCTGTGAGAGCCAGGACGAGCTGCAGCCTGGGGACAAAGTCGTGACGTTTGTGGTGTTTAAAAGTGCTGGATGGCACACCAAGTGTGAGGACTCAGGCCTACAATCACAGCACTCTGGGAGGTGGGAGCAGGAACCAATGAAGACAGCCCTTAAAAACTATCACAGAGAAGCCAGACCATGGCGGCCATAGCTTTTAATGCCAGCACTGGGGAGATACAGTTCAAGGCCATCCTGGTCTGCAGAGTGAGTTCCAGGACAGCAGGGGTTACACAGAGAAACCCTGTCTCAGAAACAAAACAAAACAAAACAAACCACACACCAAAAACTATGGTAGGGATGCAGAAGTGTAGCTCTTCACAGTTGATGCCTCCTGGAGGGCCGGGTGGTGAGCTTCTCAGTTATTTGTAAGGGGTTGGCTACTGGGAGTTTGGCCACGCTCGGATGAATACACAGGCAACACAAATTGGACTTTGTATTTTTTCTTCTTCTTTTTTTGGGGAAGGGGGGGAGGGTGGGAGGGTGGATCGGGCAGGAAAGGGAAGCATGTGTGAACAAGGTGCATTGTGTGAAATTCCCAAATAATCAATGAAAGTATGATGCTGAGGGGCAGGGGAGGAGGAAGTTTAAGAGAGCCTCAGATGTATGGCGAGTTCAAACAACAGCCAAATCCTTATAAACCTACCAACAAGAAAACCAAAATATTGCTGGGCATTGGTGGCACACGCCTTTAATCCCAGCACTCGGGAGGCAGAGGCAGGCAGATCTCTGTGAGTTCCAGGCCAGCCTGCTCCACAGAGCAAGTTCCAGGACAGGCTCTAAAACAATACAGAGAAACCCTGCTCGAAAAACCAAAAAAAAAAAAAAAAAGAAAAGAAAAGAAAAGAAAACCAAAATATCCCACCCCAACTCTCCACCAACCTCAAACCAAACCCTTTTAAGTGGTATTCATGTAACGAGAAGCTTAAGGAGAAACATGTCCCTAAAAAATGTGGAACCAGACACCTTGGGGATACTGCACAGCGGGCTGGCAGCACTAAGATCTGAACTTCCAGGCCAGTCTTTGACCTCCCATGGGAAACAGTTACAACGCCTGCAGGGCAGAAATACAGGTGTCCTATGAACTTAGTGTGGATGGCATCGGCATGTTGATCTCTGTAGGGTGGCAGACTCCTCAGCACAATGAGGCCTATCTTCTGGAGTGAAGTCTCTTTTCGAGACAGGGTTTCTCTGTAGCTTTGGAGGCTGTCCTGGAACTCGCTCGGTAGTCCAGGCTGGTCTCGAACTCACAGAGATCCGCCTGCCTCTGCCTCCCGAGTGCTGGGATTAAAGGCGTGCGCCACCAATGCCCGGCTTCTGGAGTGAAGTCTCTTACTGGAGCAGTGCGAACTAAAATGCACACACAAGGGTTTCTACAGGTGACCCAGTAAGGAATACAATGGAGAACCTGTCTCAAAAACCAAAAAAATAAAAATAAAAAGAACACAATGGAGCAAAAGTTCACTAGTATTTCATTTACAAATATGGCTCCAGTAGATGATGGATTTACCTGCAGACCACATCCCTGGGGCTCAGAAGAAACTGTCCTTGCTCTGCAGGCCATTGTCACTGTGAAGTTGGTCAGCCTCAGCAGTTCCCTTGGAGGGCTCAAGGCCAGCACTGTTTCTGCAAATGCTAACCAAGGCAGAGAAGCAATGGAGTGCATGATGCATACTCTGACTGTGGAGACTGAGGAATCAGCAGAGTCAGCAAGAGGAAGTGTAAGGCCGTCTATGTCAACGGTGGACGGTGATGGTGGAGAAACGGCAGTTTAAATTAGTGTGAAACTGTGGGTCCCCCAGGGCTCTCCAAGATGGCAGTGTATTTGTTATTTACATGATACAAGTGGGCCTGTGGTGGCGGTGCCCTTTTAATCCCAGCACCTTGGAGACAGAGGCAGATGGATCTCTGTGAGTTCAAGGCCACCCTGGGCCACACCAGAGTCAATCAGTCTAAAAGAGAAATAGAGCTCACACCTTTAATCCCAGCTCTAGAAAGGTATATAAAATAGGAGTAGGGTATCAGTACTGGGCAATTAGTCTCCAGTCATGCTGAAGTTAAAAAACAGTCTGTCCCTAGTCACACTGAGGATTCATGGAGTCAGGATCACCTTTTCTTTTCTTTTCTTTTCTTTTCTTTTTTTTTTTGTTTTTTTTGAGACAGGGTTTCTCTGTGGCTTTGGAGGCTGTCCTGGAACTCACTTTGTAGACCAGGCTGGCCTCAAACTCAGGATCACCCTTTTAATAGAGGTAACAGCTAGTAGTCAGATGCTTTGCTTTTCAGCTTTAACCCCAATATCTTTCTCTGGGTTTTTATTATTCATACTACACTCTGTCTGGATGAACTTTCTGTTTGACGAAAACAAAAGACCTATGGCATCAAAAATCACAGAATACTCTGAGGTTAGATTGGGAAGGCCTTGTGTTCATGTGAGTGATGGACCATCTGATAGCATTTTAAGATTAAAAGCCACCTATTTCAAGGTCAAAATAAATTCATTCCTGCTTTCTGTAAAACTTGGTTTGGCCAGGCCTTGACCCATCTCTGGAATTTGACAGTTTCCATATCCTATACCCTGACCTCCACCCTGATAAGGTAAGGTGCTCTGCCAAGTTCCTACATAAGCAAAAATATACCCCAAGCTAGTCTTGCAGTTTTTTAAGCATTATAAACCCACTGTCTCCTGTGTTCCATGCTATTTTCTCAAGCCCACCTTAGGGAGATAGCCTGATGGTCTGACAGAAAATAAAGTATACTTAACTCAATCAAAAACAGTTCAGGCTGGGCGGTCTTGGCACATGCCTTTAATCCCAGCACTTGTGAGGCAGAGGCAGGTGGATCTCTGTGAATTTGAGGACAGAGGCCAGCCTGGTCTTCAGAGTGAGTTCCAGGAAAGTCTCCAAACCTACAGAGAAACCCTGTCTCGAAAAACAAACAAACCAACAAAAAGTTTGGAAGCCAGGCCAGGTGGCGCACACCTTTAATCCCAGCACTCAGGAGGCAGGGGCAGGTAGATCTCTGTGAGTTCAAGGCCAGCCTGGTCTACAAAGTAAGTTCCAGGATAGCCAGAGCTAAACTGTGAAATCCTGTCTCGAAAAACAAAAACAAACAGTTTGGGTAATCGTCTTTACTCTTGGTTTGTTGGGATTAACAATGAGCAATTAACAGGGTTTTTTTTTTTTTTTTTTTTGAGACAGGGTCTCTCTACACAGCCCTAGGTGTCCTGGAGTTCACAGAGATCCACCTGCTTCTGCCTCCAGAGTGCTGGCATTAAAGTCACCTGCCACCACACTGACTCCTTAAAATACATTCCTAAAGCTGTGAGACACTGAACACCCTTGGCTGTGATCAACCTCTGAGAAGCAGAGCCTCCATCATATCCATGCAGTTCCCGGGGGCCATGAACTGTAATCCTTTCTTTTGGGGGATGGGCAGAATTTATGTTTATTTCAGTCTGGTAAATTAAAGTTCAAAGCAAATTCAATTCTTTGGAATTGCTAGAAAACACTGGCATGGGAGATAGAAGACTGTGTTGGTCATGTGGAAAACTGCCTAGCCTGGAAAGTTTACATGAGACTTTTAAATTGGTGGGAAACATCCTCTGAAGCATTTACCACAAAAAGTCAGAGATGTGTGTTTGACAGTGAGAATTTTTTTTTCTTTTTTGGATTTTTTTGAGACACGTTTTCTCTATATTGTTTTGGAGGCTGTCCTGGAACTCACTCTGTAGACCAGGTTGGCCTCAAACTCACAGAGTTCCCCCTGACTCTGCCTCTGTCTCGAAAAACAAAACAAAAGGTAAAAAAGGAGGAGGAGAGAAAACACAGGAAGATGGAGTTTGGAGGGGAAGTGTGTGATCCCCTCGGAGGCCTTTGAGATGCCGTAGGAGTGCTGTGCCCAAATCACTGAGTATTTATTGCCCGTTATTACTCAGCAGCAGCTACTTCTGGGGATACAAGCACTCTTAGGTGAGACCTTTGCCCCAGCAATTTTTCAAGATTGTTCAAAACCTTTTACAGATACGTTGATGTAACTTCCGGTGAGTTTTGGGAATTTCCCAGAAACAGTAAGGAGAAATAGTGCAGATGGTTAAGCAATTAAGAATGCTTTTCTTGCCAAGCAGTGGCACTCAGGAGGCAGAGGCAGGGGCATCTCTGAGTTTAGGCCAGCCTGGCCTATAAAGTAAGTTCTAGGACAGCCAGAGTTACACAGAGAAACAGTGTCTCGAAAAGCCAAACAAACAAAAAGAGTGCTTTTCTTTTTTCTTCTCTTTCTCTTTTCTCTCTCTCTCTTTTTTTTTTTTTTTTTTTTTTTGGCTTTTCAAGACAGGGTTTCTCTGTATTGTTTTGGAGGCTTTCCTGGAACTAGCTCTGTAGATCAGGCTGGCCTCCAACTCACAGAGATCCACCTGCCTCTGCCTCCCAAGTGCTGAGAGTTCGAGACCAGCCTGTTCCATAAGAACTACTTCC